ACTGCAGTCCTCATGTAAAGGAAGGCATCCCTGAATTTCTTCATGAGACAGCAGACTGTCAGTATTTATTTACATGGTACACATCTGCTGTGTGTCCACTAATGTGAGTAGTTTACTTTTTTCTGAATGTAGCACTTCTAAGCTAAGGGGTTTTTTGGTCCCACCACAGTTGGCAGGAGTGGAAGCTTTTAAAAACAAAACAAACTTTCCTGTTTGCACTGAAAATAATGAAGAGGTACAGTGGAATTGAATACTCTTCTTCCCAATAAGCAAAAAGTACGGTAGCTGAGATGCTGTTCTAATCTACTGAGAGAAGTAACGAGCATTTAAGTGAGTTTTTTCTTCCTTGCCTTTTTTCTCTGCAAAAATTCAAAGCCAGGGCAAGATAAAATGGCTTTCCCCTCTATCTGCCTGCTTCTTTAGGCCAGACTGAAAATCATTGCAGGTCTTGGAAAATGAGGCGTTTCTCCAATGGAACTGATCCTTTTTGGATCTGTAGAAAAAAGGGAGTAATGAAGTGATGTCTGGCAGTAGTTTAAAAGCCAAACAATGTCTCAGTGCTTACCCGTGTTCTTGAAACTGTGGGTAGCAGTAATGAAATAATTCTAGGACGGTTCACTTTCTGGTTGCTGTCTTTAAAAACACAGAAATTGTTCATTCTGGTTTAAGCAAGGGATTATCTGCGAAGGCTGTTTGGTCCATGTATTGCCTTTGTCAGGTGGAAGGGAAATAATTGCTGTAGCTAATGGAGCTTGCTCAGGTACAGCTTTGATTCCAAAGCAGCAGCTTTGTGAGGAGTGAGTAGCTCCTGCTGTCTAAGCTCTAAAGTGTTTAATCGTACTTAAGTCTCAACTGTAATCTCAGTTTTATGTGCTGTTTGAAAGCATTCCAGAATGTAGACAACAGTACATACCTTTTTTTCATACTCATAAACAGATTTTAGGGGAGTTTATAAGTTTTGACAGGATGGTATGATGTTTTAAATTTGAATACGTTTCTAATTCTGTCTGATATAATTCATCAGTAGATCTTAGTCTTTTTCTTCCATATTTATATTATTAGATCAACCATTGCTCCAGGAATCCACGAGGGCCAATCTGATCAGGAAGCCCAAGTATATAAAGGCCTTTCAAGGAGAAGTCAGGCAGTTGGTGCTGTGCTGAGTGTCCTCCTGGTTGTTCTCACTGCATGCCTAATAATCTTGCTGTTCTACAAAAAAGAGAGAAGGTAAGTGACTGGGAAGCTTTGAAAGTCTTTCATAGGGTTTGGTTTCCAGAGACTGAAGTTCTGTTTTTTCAGCTGGCATCATCAGCTGTCAAACAGCTATTTTCCAAACTATTATTGTCTAAAGGTCCATATAAAGAGGCATGCATTACAAAGATAATAAAGGCACAGGTGTTTTAGTCACCTTGACGCTGTGGTAGAGAATAGTACTAATCACGGTGGCTTAGAGCCAAAAGTCAAGATAACAAGATAGCTTGCAGCTTGTTTGGTAAAATGATTTGTTGATGATAGGGATCACCTGGAGAGAGGTGAAAGCTGATGAAGGGAACACATTCCTTCCTAATACAATATTTCTTTTCTTTTTTCTTAAGGGAAACTGTGGTAAACAAGATAACAAACTGTTGCAGAAGAACATCGGGTGTTTCCTACAAATACACAAAGGTAATACAGTGGCATAATCAAATGCTTTGTATCTTGTCAATAATTTTAAGGGGAAGCTTTTCTAATAAGTAAAAATCTTTAATTCTTAGCTCCTTCAGTGTGTGGGAAACAAACTATGGGACGTCACATAGCTTTTTATATCACTTATATCATGAAATGGGAAAGGAAGAATTGAGGAAATGAACAGTCCATAAATAACCAAATGTATAAATCTGCAGGAAGAGATGGTATATTTCAGATATGGTGAAAAGCAATAGTAATACTGTGCATGAATATGCTGTTATATCTAAATTAAACTCAAGGTTATGTGGGGTGGGTTCCATATCTGGGGAGATTAGTGTGTGAAAATGTATGGAGTGGTATACTGAGTCTTGTATTTTTTTTTCTTTTAGATAAACAGTGAAGAAGAAGCTAATGAGAATGAAACAGAGTGGCTTATGGAGGAAATTGCAGCACCAAATCAAAGAACAGTAAAAGGAGTACAGGAGAATGGTCACCTTACTACCAAGTCTGTTACATCTGATGCTCTTACATCTCTCCATGTGGATGACCTGGACAGTGAGGATGAAGTGTTAACCATCCCGGATGTAAAGATTCAGACAGGAAGACGACTAGACAAAAGCAAGCACCCACAAAAGAAGCTACCAAGCTTTGCCAGTGATGACAAAGCTTACTTGCTGAATGGGGGAAAGGAAAGGAAAGCAAAAGCCAAGCCTGGCCAACAGCAGAAGGCACAGAACTCTACAAATTCAGTATCATTTCATGATGATAGTGATGAGGACTTGTTGAATGTTTAATAACCCCTCTTGTGCCTAATCAAATATATATGGAGAGATTATATATACAAATGGGACAAAAACTTTCAACCAAATATGAGGACTTCAGCCTGAAAGATTTTTCTGAATTTTGCCTTTAACAAGAAACCATTGAAAAGGGAAGGAGAGAAAGATGTCTTGGTTGTTGTTTACAATGATCTGTTCAGTAATGACTGGATTTGTAGCATCCGGTAGGCTGAGTTATGTTGACTCTCTCTAGCCAGGACAACTTCTTTAAGCTTCAGCAGAGATATGAAATACTTGCTTAAAAAAAGAAACCTTTCAAAGGTCAAGATTAAAGGTGAATTAGGCTCCTGGTTCCTGAGATTCAAATTACCTAGATGACTACTAGCATTTTAACTCCTTGTATTTATTGGTCCTCACTACTCAGGTTTGCTTATAGCAACGTGTTCTTCCTGCCGGCAGGGTATTATTCTATGGGTTCACCCTTCAGTGGGTTCATCCATTGTAAGATGAGGAAAAAATATAACTTTTCTGTGTTGGGATAATTTGATGTAAATTTTAGAACTGGTCTAATTTATCCTGTAAATTTGAATATACGTTCTAATTTAAACAGATCATTGGTTCAAAGGTAATGACTGAAAGGTACGATTCTGTATAGCTTTAGCCTGAGATGACTGCTGTTCTTTGCATGATGTTCTCTTGGTACTAGTCATACGACTGACTTCATCAGTGTTTGCCTAAGCAGCTGACAAGCATCCAAAGACTTTTCTTTCCTCTAGATTATGAGTGCATTAGAGTGACTACAGAGAATCAATGTTCAGAACCATAGAAGCAGAATTCCTAGAATACAACCTGATACAGCCCAGTTTGTCATCATGAAAGAAAACCTCAACGACTAGAGGAGCCCCAGTCAGTACAATGCCTCTCTGTCATTCATTATGAAAAAAATATTGGGCTACTGTTTCTGAAAGCCTAAGTTAAGACTCTTAAACAGAGTTCCTGGCCGTGGTCATTGATTTGCAGTGTTGCTGGCAATGAATGGAAGTCAGATTTCCTCTAGCAGTTTTGCTCTTCTCCAGGTGTTTGTTTAATTTATGGGCAATATTAAGGCTTCAAAAAATTCTACAATTGTATTTTTTAGAATTTTTTGAAACTCTTCATTGTTTATTTTGGCAGGCTTATTCAGTTTCAACAATGGTTTCTTTTTATAAAAACTCCATTTTGAATCAAAATAGTGTAATATAAAGTATTTAGCAATTTCAATAAAAGATATGACGTGGGTATTCCAAATCCCACATCTCAAGTCTGGAATCTTTCTTATGCTAGTGTAATACTGTTCATCAGCTTGCTGATTTATGTTCTTCCCTGTTGGCATAGCTAATAATCCCATCACTCAAAATGAGAAATGAAGTTTTATCAAAGATCAGAATGTGTTTGTATGTATGTGTGTGTATATATAGGTAAGTCTCACTACTCTGGCTTTCTCAGACTGATATTTTTCTTCCTGCACTGTTACCAGAGAAGTCTCTAAAAGAGTTTATCTGAAGTTTCATTTTATCATTGTTAAAACAGAAGTAGTGTTTTTCATAGTTAGCATTAAGTTAATCTGGGGGTATGAGAGGCTTGACAATGTGTTTTTAATGCTGTCAGTTGTCATTGAAGGCGTTGCCTCAATATGTGTTGAAGAATGTTGCTTCTCCCCAAATACTCAAGGTTTGAGTTGTTTGATCTGTAAACTGCTGCATGAAATGGCTTAGTATAACACCAAATAGTTGCTTTATTTTGACTGTGCATAATAAAGCTTATACAGAACGGATACTGCTCAGATAAGCACCCCCAGGTGAAGTATAACAATAAGACTTTCTTAGTAATAAATAGCTGACAGCACTGACTGAGGTGTTTGGTATTGGGACTTTTGCTTGCTATCTAAGCACTGTAGGTAGACCAACTGTTATGCTCATTGCTAGATGAGTGACTTGTTTCACCAAGCTGTTTTTCCAGCAGAATATGCTGTTCAGACATAAGGAAGGAAGGGCTATGAAAATACTGGGGACCAGAGGAGTACAAACAAGTCTTAGGTGCTAATGGCTGTGTGTTAGATGACAACAGTGCTGCTCCTTCAGAAGGAGGCCTCTCACCTGCTGCTGCAGTGTTTTTAGGAACAGTCCGACAGCTTTCACCAACAGATTCCAACTTCACTCAATTTCCAGCAGGCTTTGATTTCTGTTTGCTTGGCCTCACTGTCTGTAGATGTACCTCCTGTCAGCATGGTGAGTGTTGCACACCCGTCCCTCTGTCTCCATGCTGGAGCACAGCAGCTGGGGAGGTGACATCTGCCACAGGTTGGAAGTAGCTGTGGGCAACGTTGCGCTGGCCTTGGAATACTTTAGGTGGCTGCAGGAGCAAAAGTCTGGTTACCTGGCTCCAGTGGATGTGCCTGAAGACAGGAAGAGCTGTGTGCAAAGTGCTGATCCACAGAGCAGGTTTCATACTAGGCTGCGCGTGCTCTTGGAGGCCAATGGGCGGCTCTTGTGGGCCTAATGCACAATGGGAAGAACTGGAGCTTTTCCTACCCTTCTGCAAGAATAGACTTCTAACCATTGTATTAGGAGGAAGTTATCAACAAAGGTTAATTCAAACAGCTAATGTTTGAAAGTTAGTAATGGCTAACCAGCAAACAAACGGCGTCAACAACAAAAAAGAATACAGAACAGCCACAGCACTGTTTATTTATGTTTTGTGAGAGATAAGGAACCATATGTGCGCTCAGTAGGGGTTAAATGCAAATTCTGCCTGGGTGAATTAAGGTCTGATTTCAAATGAAACCTTAAAAAATCTTGCAACATGTCGTTTAATAATTTATGGAGTTAATCTTGACTTTTGGTCAAATGTTTTGTTACTCAAATAGCTTTGCTGCCAACTGAACGTGTCAGTGTTGCAGACCAGAGTGATAAGGATTTGAGGTGGTTTTGATGCCAAAATGCCAACACTGGATGACATTTTAGAGCACATTGGAGAATTCGACAGGTTCCAGAAACAAACCTTCTTCGCCCTGTGTTTGCTTTCTGCTGCCTTCACTCCAGTCTATGTGGGGGTCGTCTTCTTCGGGTTCACCCCCGAGCACCGCTGCTTCAGCCCTGGCGTGGCGGAGCTGAGCCAGCGCTGTGGCTGGAGCCTGGCGGAGCAGCTGAACCACACCGTTCCCGAGTGGGGCAGCCATGGGGCCGCCTACAGCAGCCGCTGCAGCAGGTATGAGGTGGACTGGAACGCAACGGCTGTCAGCTGCACCGACCCCCTTGGCAGCCTGGTGGGCAACCGGAGCTCTGTCCCACTTGGCCCCTGCCAAGATGGGTGGGTCTACGACTACCCTGGCACCTCCATAGTGACTGAGGTAAAAGCATGTGTCTGTCTTCTCTTGCGGTGTTGTTTCTGATAAGCTGACGGGTGCTGAAGTTGGTTGATGCAGCCTAAGCTGTATTAGAGAGACAGGCACTTACCTGTAAGAGAGGATCTCCTCTCTTTATGGACTTCGTTTGAATGCTCTGCAAATCCTCTTTGCTCTGTCCCTGCTTTGAAGTATTGCTCTGGTGTGCTCAGAAGGTATCTCCAGCTGAGCAGCAAATAAACTCTAAGGTAGATAAAGTCCCTTTTAACAAAACTCCCATCCCACACAAAATCCTATTGGTGGAAGTGTGTAAACAGCCTGTGTAAGAAATCAAGAGCCTGCAATACTCCAACAGAAGTGGCTGATCTCAGCAGGTACCTTTCAGAAACTACGCGTGCTTTCTGTGATCCACACTCAGATGTGAAAGTCTCGAGTTTGGTTTTTAGTTTTGGATATGACTGAATGACTGGGGGTGGGTTAGTTCAGGAATAGCTTAGTTCAGGAATAAGCAGCAGAAAAGCTAGTGACTTTTTTGCGTTCTCAGAACATCTGAGAGTAAACAAAGATACTGAACCTATTTAATCTACTTCAGGTTTTAAAGTATTTGGTATGATAAGAGTTATCAGGGATGAGAAATTTGATTTCATATAACATTTTTTGTGGGTAAAAGAACTGACTTGTGTGATCTCTCTTCATGGAACTTTCTAGCATGAATGCAAAGACAGGTCCATTTTGTGTTCGGGTGATGTCAGCATCTGTAGTCCTGTGGTACAGCATTTGCTCTAAGTCCATTTCTTGCCACAGAGGCTGTGTGACATCAAGATAAGGAGATAAGCCAACAGTTCTTTTCATGATTCTACTGATGGAAAGGACTTCCGAGATCATTCAATTCAACCACTCTCCTGCCACCAATATTTCCCTGCTGAACCACGTCTTTTAATACAGCATCTAAATGCTCCTTGAATGCTTCCAGGGATGGTGACTCCACCATCTCCCTGGGCAGCTCATGCCAGTGCATGACCACTCAATTTGAGCAGTTTTTCATTATTCCCACTTGAATCTCCTCTGGAGCAACGTGAGGCCATTTCCTTTAGTCCTATTGCTAGTTATGTGAGAGAAGAAGCCGATTCCCCACCTCACTGCAATCTCCCTTTATGTACTTGTAGAGAGCAATAAGGTCTCACCATCAGCATTCAAGCTCCAGAATCAATGGGGTCCTGGGCAGCCTGATCTAGTAAGTGGCGGCCCTGCTTATGGTAGGGAGTTGAGACTAGATGATCTTCAAGGTCCCTTTTAACCCAAACAATTCAATGATTCTAAGAAGTATTGCAACCTTATTCTAAGATTCTAAGAAGTAATGCATCCTTATTGCAAAGACCTGAGTGAGCATGCTCTGGATGGCCCCACTGTCATCTCCTGAGATTGTCCAGTTCCAGATGGCTCTTGAGATAAGCTGGCACCAAAGAACTCAGCCTGTGTGGATTTGTGCAGTCCTCTCAGACTGAAGCTGTTTCTCCTTTTCTCTGAAAGGTGGCACAGGGCTAGGCCCTCTGGTCACTTCCTTCACCACAGGATATCTGATATGCCACATGCCTCTGTCTGCGTTTTAGCAATGTATCTTGTTTTTGACTGTGACTGTTAAAGCTCCTTATGTACAGCCTGCTAGCCAAGAAAAAGAGAGAAGGTAGCACAAAGTAAAGCATGTCACTTTGCTCAAAAGTAAAAAATACAGGCAGAAGAAAAGCCTCGTTTGCCCTTATAGAGCGTCAGGAAGATGTTTATACTGCCCAAGAGCATGATCTCGTTTCTGGTCTTGGATACTTAGCGAGTATCCGGGGTGCCAATAAGATGAATATTGGCCCAGAAACATGTTTACATCTTCACATGAATCAAAGGAGTTGTGGATGTGAGCAAGCTCCTGGTTCCACTGTTTTGGTTGTAACTGTGGTTGCTCCTTTAGTTTAACCTGGTGTGTGAAGACTCCTGGAAACTGGACCTCTTTCAGTCATCTGTGAATGCTGGGTTCTTTATTGGCTCTGTCAACATTGGCTACATAGCAGACAGGTATGTGTGGAGTGACAGCAAAGCCCTCTGGCCTCCCTTATCAGTGTTTAGTGAGTGGGTGAACTTGAAGACAGAGAGAAATTGTGCAATGGGTATCGTTGCTGCTCCCTTCAAAATAAGGCCATCCGCTGGCTGTTCAGTCATGGTCAGAAGAGAGTACTTTGCCTTAAAGTGAACAAACTGTCCCTGGTATTTTGTACAAATGTTACGGAGCAGAAAAGATTTGTGCAAGTCCTGCAGAGTTGATGTGGATGACAGACCCAAACCTCCCTGCTGGGCCACGCAGGAATCCTGGCGATGTTAACAAAGCTGGGAGGTGCTTGTTTGGAGCCATTGCTTCGTCTGCCGTACTCAGTGTGCCTACAGCCTGGAAAGTATCTTTCCTTCTGAAAAACTTTGAAATAGTAGATGCAGAGGTTGCCAGACAGATACAGCTGGTTTGGAAATCAGTGAGTCCTGGCATCTTCAACATCCTGTACAGAGCCATCCTTTTTCAGGCAGCTGGGGCTGAAAAGAAGCAAATGCTGATATTTGAAGGTATTTTTTCCCTCTCCTTTCCCTCCTGCCTGGAGATGGTTGGCAAAGCGGGCTCCAAGCATCTCCAGATGACAACCACAGCCCATCAACAGCAAGAGACATAAGATTTTTTTTTTTTTAAAGGATTAAGTTCCTAATATATAAATATGCTACTCTGGTATGTGCAGATGTATCAGAATCGTAAATTAATCTGTTCATATTTTTCACCCTATTTTATTTAGTAGACAACTAAGTAATTGTTCTGAACTTGAAAGCAACACAGTCCAAACATATGCAAACATAGGTCTTTCATTGCTCTCTCATGTGGGAAGTTTTTCTTCCTCTGAGAAACTTCTAGGGAATTGAAAAGCAAAAGGAAATAAATGAGTGATGGACTAAAAGTCAGTGTGTACCTCTTCTATAGCAAAGTGGTTTTTCTTTCTTCCTCAAAAAGCACATAGTTTGTATTTGTCTAAGTTTTCATGACTGTTGTTTTGCTTTACATTTAATATCTTCTAATCCAGGTTTGGCCGTAAGTTTTGCCTTTTAACCACAATTCTTGCAAATGTGGTCTGTGGGATCCTGCTGGTATTTGTGCCCAGCTACCTGTGGATTGTGATCTTTCGCTTCTTGCAAGGGCTGGTCAGCAAGGGCTGCTGGACTGCAGGCTACATCCTTGGTGAGTCTAAACCTTCTTGCAGGAGTAAGATGGGCTGCAAAGGAGATGAAGGGGGGGGGGGGAACCCACAAAACAAACACTATGAACTAAAGACCTCTTTAAAAAAAAAAACAAACACCTCCTAAAGTTTTTCGAAATCATACGAAAACCATCAAGAGTTTTTCTCCCTCTGACTACTTGGGATTCTTTTCTTCCAAATGGCAGTGGCCTTCAAAGATCAAGGGTTGGCATAGGAACTCTGTTACCTCAAGGCAGGCTTTTTGTTGTGGGTCAGCCCCCTGCTGCAGACTGTGCCCTCTCCTGTCAATGCTGGCAGGGGAAAGACAGTGGCCCCACGTTCAGCAGCAACTGCCCTGCTGCAGCCCAGTTGCAGATAGGGTGATGACAGAGGATATGAAAGAAGCAGGCAGAGGGTAGGGAAAACTGTAAGCGTTGTGATACAAAGAGTACTAAAGGGTAAACAGAGGCTTTGCGGCCTAAAAATAACTGAGGAACAGCATGTACTTGCTGAGGAAAAGACAAGCTGTTTGGGTGTCTGTGCACTTGCATGAGTGAAGGCCAGCCATAGCACTGTGAAGTAATGGGAAGAGCCACATTGTGCTGGTGTTTCTCTCAGCATGTTGGCTGGCAGCTGCATGGCAGCAGGGCCAGGACCAACTCAGAACCACCTTCTGGTGCATGGTGGAGCTGTGCGGGACTTCATTGGCTGCTCGTTGGTAGAGTTCAGACTCCTGTCAAAAAAAAAAAAAAGGCACAAAACTCCACCAAGAAATCACTGAAGAAATCGCAATGAAATATGTAAGTGCTGCCCAGTTGAGTTATATCTGGATTAGCATGGCAAGTGGCCCTACTGAAAGGCTCCAAGTGATCCAGTTAACTGTGATGGTGGCAGAAATGTAAATGCTAATGCCCAAAACTCTCAATTACCTCTTGTTATTTCTAGATTTTCCTTGAAATCTCTTTGTGAGAGAGGCCATGTAGAATCAACTGCAAAGCCCATGTAAACTTGTCTACTGTCAGAGGGCTGATACTGAGTGCTCAATGAAGAGTACAGTGGCAGAGCAACTTCCTTAGTCTGTTCTTCTGGGCTCATCTACCCTGCAGCTGCTTTTGACTCAGTTTTATGGAGCCTGAAGTGTGATAAAGAGGTGTCTCTATCTATACTCATCTTCTGCCTGAGCAACATTAGTTAATCTGTCATCCCTAAACCAAAGAGCTCCTTGAGCTGCTAAATGATGACGTTCTGTTCTTTCTCTAATAAGTTTTCTTGAAATGATGCTACTGGATTCATAAATGAATTTTTTTTTTTACTTCAGCTCTGTGTTGGCAATACTTACCCTATTAGGCCTATATGGCGACAATGTGGTTCAAAACGCAGATAGATGATGAAGCCTTCAGGGTGGGGAAATCTGTATGCCATCCCATGGTATGAGCATTTTTGCATGCTTGGGTTGAGATACAGGCTGAAAATGTGCACTTGGAAAAATAAAAAAAATATGCTTTGACTGGGTTGGAGGTATAATGTACATTAGCGTTTGGTTTTGCAGCGAAATCTTTATTCATTTTGCACTGCATGGGGTTGGTGGAGCTGTCATTCTGTCTCTGCAGTGACGGAAGTTGTTGGCCCGCAGTACAGGAGAACGGTGGGGATCCTCTACCAGGCAGCCTTCTCAGTGGGGCTCCTGGTGTTCGATGCCATTGCTTATGCAGTCCCTCACTGGCGGTGGCTGCAGCTCACTGTCACCTTACCCTGCTGCTTCTTAATGCTCTACTACTGGTAAGACTGTTTCTGTTGCCTTTGCCCATCAGCTTAAAAGCAGCATCTTTGCTCCCGAGATTTGATACTGAGAGAGATTTGGCACTGCTTTTTGGATGTGGATGTGGACGCATGTTAATGTAAAGAGGAGGTACACAGCAATAAGGGGTGGAAAATAGGATCCCTCAGCAGCCAATGTTTCGTTGCATCTTAGCCTGTGCACCACACCTGTCTTCTGTTTAAAAAAAAAAAAAAATCACTTTGAAAATGAAAGGGTGATCTAATAATGTATTAAATATTTCATAAAAGAAAAAAAATGGAGCCTACATTGAAAAATGGCAATTGAAAGCTTGTGAAAACATATACATATACATTCGACAAGTTGGTTTACACGTTCTTTTAAGCAACAAGGAAAAACAGCTGTTTGTGATCCAACCAAAAGGTGACACAAGTTTATTTGTACTTTGGATCTCTCCTACCTTATGAGTAATATTTTCCAAATTCTAAGTTGTGAATTGTCTAGATGGGCTGAGTTGTTAGGATTAATAGAATGTCTTGTTTCATTTTCCCTTCCCCTTTCTTGTGAATTGGTAAGCCAGCTTTAGCTTACTCACTTTTTTGTCTTGTGAAGGCAAAGGTGAACGATGGCTCCCTGTGAGGAGCCAGTTGGTGGTCAACAGGCTGAGCAAAATGCTGATGCTGCTTTAACTCAAAGCCCAGCCCCAATTTCTCGTTAGTAAACCTGATCTCTGACTAAAGCCATTGCTGCTGCTCTTCCCCTTTCAGCAGCAGGATGTTGTATTCTTCCTGAGAGAAAAAGAGAAAACAACGAACAACAACAAAAAATGAAACAAACAACAAACCTATAACTGTCTTTAGTCAACCAAAATATTCTCTCCTCAGTCTAGCAGGTAGGAACACTGCATGCACGTTGCATTTCAGTATAACAGCATTAACTCATGTGTTGTTAGGTGCCTTCCAGAGTCTCCCAGATGGCTGATATCTCAGGGAAAAACTGACAAAGCTAAGAAAATTGTCAGTGATATAGCTAAAAAAAATCGGAAAAAGATGCCTTCCCATTTTGAGGTGAGCTTGGTATTTGCTTATACACATAAAAACAAGAGCCCCGCTAGTAACTTCTATCAGTTCCTTCCAGTGGAAGCTTATTGTACTTTGAATATTGGAAAGTCTAATCTTGTGGTTAGAGAGGTAATGAGCACTACTGTACTAATGAGGGAGATGAGACAGCATAAGTCTTATAGCTAAGCAAAAAAACCCAGTATTTTCCTGAAGAAATAAGCTAGAGAATGCTAGAAGGGACCAATGTTAAGCCTTGGGGGGAGTTTTAGGGAACTTTGCCCAGATATGGCCTTCTGCATGGGGAAATAGGATCAGTACTCCCTCTCCCCCAGGGGCTGTTGTTGTTGTGATTGGTCATAGTGCCTCAGACTGTATCTGCCAGTCCAAGGCTTGTAGTGAGTGCTCAGCTCCTACAAACACTGTGCTGGCTTTTTCATAGGATATTAAATTTGAAGATGAAGATAGTGGGAAGCAGAGTCCTTCACTCATTGACCTTGTCAGGACACCGCAGATGAGAAAAAACACATTCATTTTGATGTACAACTGGTAAGAAGATAACGTTTGGTGAGTCATTTTGAAGCTCTGGGTATGAATGCTCTAGGAGGATAGAATGTGAGCTTCTGGCTAACAAAGCTGGGACGTTCTTCTTTGCCTAGGTTCACAAGCTCCATCCTCTACCAAGGGCTCATCATGCACATGGGACTAATGGGTGGAAACATTTATCTGGATTTTCTCTATTCTGCTCTCGTTGAGTTTCCAGCTGCCTTCATCATTATTGTCACTATTGATCGTATTGGCCGTCGCTACCCATGGGCTACAGCAAACCTGGTGGCTGGGGCTGCCTGCCTTGCCACAGCCCTGATCCCTGAGGGTGAGTCAGCGGGGTGAGGCTTCCAGTCCCTGAACTTCCTCCTAGGATCAGCACCCGATTCTGTCTCCCTTATTAAAGAGTTACAGCCCTGAAGGGCTGCAAATGCATGTCCACCAGTGGGTGCTGCCCTCCCAACTTTCAGTGGTGCTCCTTGCACTACAGAATCATAGAATATTCCAAGTTGGAAGGGACCCACAAGGATCACAGAGTCCAAATCCTGGCTCCACACAGAAACACACAAAACTCAAACCATATGTATATCTGAGCACATTGTCCAAAAGCTTCTTGAACTCCAGCAGGTTGGGGCTGTGACCACTGTCCTGGGGAGTCTGTTCCATGCCCTGGTACTCCTGCTGAAGAACCTTTCCCTAACCTCCTACCTGACACTCCCCTGATGCAGCTCTTTCTGGTCCTGTTGCTGTAACGGAGAGCAGAGCTTAGTGTTGCACCTCTGCTCTCTCTACAAGGAGCTGCAGGGGCACCATGAGGCCTCCCCTTAGCCTCCTCTGCTCTGGGTTGAGCAAACCTAGGGACCTCAGCTGCTCCTCAGTGAAATAAACAGATTTTATAGCACTGCTAATAATAAATCTCAAAGCATCTGGGTCCCTTGTGTTGTGCCACAGCTCATGTGGTGTTGACTGTTTTCATTTCCTGATTCACACAAGAGAGTTCTTTAAAAAACATCACATGATAGGGGATCAGAGGTCTAGCTAAAATAGCAGTGGTATTAACCAATCCCTGCTAAATCACAGGGATAATTTAAATGTATTGAATGCATTTTACCTGCAGACCTACATTGGCTGAAATTAATTGCTGCTTGCCTTGGGCGAATGGGAATCACGATAGCTTTTGAAATGGTTTGCTTTGTAAACACTGAGTTATATCCAACGTACATCAGGTAAGTGTATCTTTCTGCTGTTGGACCAGCAAACAAATAGTTGAAGCCAATGTGTATTTTATGTTTTATGCTAAAATAAGTAATCTCCAAATACTTTCAAACATATATCATTATTGCCTAACGTTAAGTAGAGTGGAAGAAAAGTGCTGTAAAACATTGATTAATAAAGAAAACCAACGTGGTTCAAGCAAACGAAAATTCATGCAGATGAAATAAAGGGAAAAGTGGACAGAACCAGGGCAGGCAATGAATCTGAAGTCTCGCATACTGGTTAATTTGTATTTAATTTGAGTCAAAATTACATGCAAATGGATGTGTCCAGCATGGCTGTTGCTATGGAGAATATGTGAACTTGAGCTCTTGACCTGAAGAATGGATTTGTTTTTTTTCCTATTGGACTGTAGGGTGCATAGCTCAGAAGTAGCTATGTGCACTGCAGGTAACTGAAGCTTGGGAGTAAAGTTCTCAAAAATTCCTTCCCCTGAGTGACCATTGGCCACTGCATGCAGGGAAGGTGTCTGAACTGACCAGAGAATCTCAATCCTCCTTTCTTCACTGGAGGCTCTTAATTTCATTTCTATATCCACAATTAACATAGTAGAAGATAGTTGAACTTTTATTAATGGTACATACCAAATGAAAGCATTATTTGATGCCCCTTGTGCTAAGTCATTTAAGAGGTGAAGATAATGGTTTTGCATAGTAAGTGCTTGGAGACTCCCCTCAGTCATCGTGAGCCTGATTTTCTTCTATGTTTAACCTTGGGGAATTTCTTACACCTGTGATAATACAGGTGTACTATACTGCTGCTATTTGCTAAGTTTTTCATGCTTGCAGTACTTAAGTCTAAGTAACTCATGGATGTGCCCACCTTTGGAAAACTAGAGCTTTGCACACTATTTTGGTATTTTGTGGCTTGTGAAGCCACAATGCTGTGTGCGAAGTCAGAGTTGTGCCCTGTCCTCTTCCATTTGCAGTGCTTGCTAATATGATCCCTTTGCTGTCAAACCAGGAACCTTGGTGTGATGGTCTGCTCTGCCTTGTGTGATGTTGGTGGAATTGCTGTCCCATTCATCGTCTACAGGCTGGTGGAAATCTGGCATGAGTTGCCACTGATAGTCTTCAGTAAGTGCCACATTACTTCCTCACCAGTTGCTTCTGTGGTGTAGTAATGGGGTCCAGATTTCAAAGAGAGGGAGAAACAGCTGGGACAGTAGCTCCAAATTCAGCAGGTGCATTTTCACATCTGTATGTGCTGTAATCTTCAGTTTGTAGCATCCTGGGACTTGCCTGTGCATTTGTACCTGCAATGTTGTAATTGTGTCATTATTGTTCCCTGTGTTTTAAAAGAAGCTGGAGATGAATACAGGCTGGATAGATGGTGAAATGCTGAGTAACGTTCCAACATTCTGATGAGATGAAATGGGTTTTGGTTTATTTTTGCTGTATTTAAATCTGATAAATTGTTGCTCTTCTATGAAGTGTGCTTCCTCAGTCCTGGAGACAAAGTCAGAATTTCCCCCTCCCCCCCTCTTTTTTTTTTAATGGAGTACAAGCATAGTTGTTATACTTCAGCTTTTCTAACACTGTTAACTGGCTCTTCTCCACCTGTTTGGAAAGAGATTAGTAAATAAATGCAAGATGAGCACTTGCAAACTAGTGACCTGAACTTTTCAGGTCAAGGTCTGTGTTCTCTGAATCTTTGGATCAGAAGAACATTGTTTCAAGAAAAATGTCTTGAATGGCAATATGCAGTTCTTAATTGACAGAACATTTGGGAGAGTGCTTAGCAGATTCAAAGTATAGACATAAAACATATATAAAGTGGGTAAATGAAACTATCAGTGAGCAAGTTAAACACATTGTGCAGGAATTAATATGTTTGGTATGTATTTTCTAAAGCTTGTTATGTAAACAGCATCCATTTTCTGATTTATGCTCACGCTATCGAAAGGGTTTTTCCCTCTTTACAGATGTCAGTCCAGTCATCATTACCCCACCCAGCTCAGTGTGTAACTCACAACTGAACTTGACTCCTTGCTATTTCCGTGTAGCTGCCAGATCCTCCATAGATGGTGTGCTGGTCTTGCATATCAAGCCTTATGTATTCATTTTCTTAAAAAAAAAAAAAAAAAAAAAAAAAAAAAAACCCAACAAAATAAAATACCACTTGTAAGTCCTTTATGCCAGGCAGCAGAAAGTAACGTATATGATAACAAGCTCTTTGTGTGTTTCTTTGATTTGAAGCTGTTCTTGGTTTGATTGCGGGTGGATTGGTGTTGTTTCTGCCTGAAACTAAAGGAAGAGTTTTGCCTGAGACTGTTGAAGATGTTGAAAACTTTCACAGGTGAGTTAGGCTGGCAGGTTTCACTTGAAATTGTACAAAACGTACAACAGAACTCCTTGGGGAAGCCCGTTTGTTACTTTGCTGCCTCCTATGCTTCCAAGAAGTTTCCATAGCTGGCTCCTAGGCTCCATTCTAGGAGAGTTTGGACTCTGCTTTAGTGTTCATCTAGGCATTTGAAAACAAGCACCACAGATACTTTTACTGGTCTGTGAATAACTTGGCTGGTATCTTAAAAAGGCTGCAACCCTACTATAACTGTAATTTGTGCTTTAAGAAATTGGCTGATTTTTGTGGAACAAAGTGCAGTGTTAATAACAGCTACTTTATATGGTAAGTGAAGCATTGGTATCTCCTGAGGAGCCAGAGCAACCCTAGAGGACTTCAGAATTAACTGCTTGTTTTCTCTGGGGAAGAGGCAGAGCAAATGAAGAACCTGAAATCAGGTGCTAGCTGAATGCATTTCTTGCTGGTTGCTGCTCACATTTTGATGTTCTTGCAGGCGAAGCACTCCAAAGGACAAAAAGATCTATCTCCATGTCCAAGCATCAGAAGTAGCCCATGATTGAAGAAGGCACAACTTTCTGGGCAGTCTGCTTTAGAGCACTACTGTAAAAAATAAAATTAGAATGAATACTCTCTTCTGTCTTGCTTCCCTTTGTTCATAGAATAACAGAACCCAAGCAAGAAGTAGCCTCTGGGAGATCATCAGATCCAACCTTTTATTGGAAAAGGGAGCCTAGATGAAATTATCTAGCATGCTGCACAATTGCATCTTGAAAGTCTCCACTGATAAGAATACTATACTCCATCCTTCCCTTTTTTTTCTGTCTATCCTTTCATTTGAATGTTTGAGATTTTCTGATGTGCTCGTCCCTGGTGCTGCATAGCTTGTTCCCTCTCTGTACTCTATAATAGAAATGTTTCAGGGCTGGAAAATTTTCACTCAAACTGTGTCGATCTCAACATGGGGCAGATTTTTAACTTGGGGATTGTGGAGTCCATTCCAAATGAACTTTATAAACCTCAGATTTATAAACAATCTGACTTGTCTCGCATGGGTAGCGTAACGTAACAGAGATGTGCCTCTGTTGTAGAACTGAGATGAGAACAAACCTTATCTAATTTTCTTGCATAGGGCAGAGTTTCTGAGCTGAGGCTTGTCAAGTAGTCCTCTGCCTCAGGGAGCATTAGGAGCAAAGTTGGATCTGTTAGGGACAGTTCAGCACCTTTCATGATTTGCAGCTGTTTCAGAATTGGGTTTGCTTTTCTTTGTGCCTTGTTCCCCTTTCTGCTCTCTGTGGTAGCACTGCAGTAATTGCTCATCTCTCCTGATCCTGTTCTGCTTTTCCTTTTCCACCCCACTGAACAACCTTTACATCTTGCAGTTTCAGGGGAGAACAGACATGAGGTATTGTGATTTTCCGGCACTGTTTTTTGCCTTGCTGGCCCCTAACAATGTTGGAGAGCGCTGGTTTCTGGTAAGGATACTGATGCTGCTTAATGGTCATCTGTGGAGACAGGGCACTCAGCTGAGTAAAAATACTGCTAGACTCACCGGCAGTGTCCAATTGCTCCAGGACGACTGCTTGGTTGTCAGTGTGGTGTCTTTACCTTTGCTTTCACCAGGCTTGAGCAGCAGTTAATGTTCAGTCTTGCTGTGTGGGTCTTGATGGTAGGGAAGTATTCTGTCTTGCTGAGCATGGCCTTCACATGACACTGGCCCAGGCAGTTGCAAAATTAACATTTATTGCAGGGTCAGCAGTGAACAATTTAGCCTTGAGTTTGGTTGAGGGGCTGTGAAGATGCAATTGGGTGTGTCTATGGAGCTGCTCCCCTGCTGTGATTGCCAAGGTCTCAGCTTGATACCAAAAGAAGTCTGTCAGAACAGTTGTTTTTATTGTAGTATGCTGATTTGAAACCTGTCAAAAACCTTGTACAAAAAATAGGGTGAGGAGATCCAAGAAGTGGGACTAGTCAGGAGGCAAATCAAAATAAAAGCTGCTGAATGTGATGTGAACCACTTTATGAAATTCCAAAGGGCTAGAGAAGAGGACTTTCAACCTATGGTTGTTATATTTCAGCATGTTATAAATAGAAGTCTACGTAGAAAGCTAGATCCTTTGCGCCTCTTCTTTTCCTTAATTCATATCACTCATAGATATTTTGGAGCCTGGCCATGCAAAAAGCCCAATCTACAGCATTAGGAAAGCAATACATATTAGAACAACAGGACTTTATTGTACAGAGTGCTGTGGTGTATTATTGCTTGTGCTGCTCCCAGTGGATGTATGCGATGAGGCTTTGTCTCCTTGTTCCATCACTGATCCCACAAGATAGGGCAGTAGCACTCAGAACATCATGGCCTAAGGCTCATCTGCCTGCAGCTCTTTCTTCCCTTCCTTTTAATTTTCCAGCTTGTCTCATAGCTAATCAAATTCTGGGGTGCCAAAGCTTAAAAACTGGTCTGGAACTAGACTTCCCCCTCACCAGGTTTATTCCACCTTTTCTGGAGAACTAAGTGGGAAGTTCTAGTGGATACTCATGGACTCCCTAAGCGCGCTCTGCAGAGGTGTTTGCTATAAAGTGGTAGGAGCTGAGCCTGCTCAGCATCTGGCACTGAGATTTTCAGGGGTGTATATGGGCAGTGACATAAATCAGCCACTATCTACATGCTTTCTTTCATGTAAAATTAGTGCAGTGTGGAGGTGGGTTGGAACTACAGATACATTCTTGCTTGCTATGGAAATGAGCTGCAAGTGTGAAAAAAGCATTACTTCATGAGTGTCCTGCCTGGGCTGTAAAGTCACTGTTGTCAAATGTCTGGGGAAATGTGAAAGTACTGAGAAGATGAATAGAGAAATTCAGTGGAAGATGGTCTGTGAGAGCCTGAATAGGAAATCCATGGAGTCAACTGCCATGGCTTGGCTGGTGGTAGTGGGAGAGCAAGCTGGAAAAGGGTGGGCTATGTCTCCATGGTCCTTTCCTCAGTGCTGGGTGGGGGCTGTTGTGCTGGCCCCTCCACTGCTGCCCAGTGAAAGCAGGTTTGGAATAAAAGCGGAGCCTTACTTGGGTACAGCTTCTGAAGTCAGAATTTGAAGATAAATTGTGTTTTCCTTGCTTCTTTCTTGTCTGTAGAAGGAATAAGGGAAAGACAGATGATGCTCTGGTGTGGCAAAGAACATTATCCACTAAATAACCCATCTGCTTAAATTCACTGGAGACTAAATTTAACAACTCTCCCATTGCTGGCAGTTTTTCAAATGAGATCAAATTATTTGAGAGAACAGCAAGAAAAGAAGTAATTCGAAGAATTTCTGTAGGCTGACTGCAGCTGCATGGATGTCTGAAAATCATGTTAGTGGTTGCATTAGTAACTTTGTCATTTCCTACTGTTAAAGCTGTTATTCTATGTGGTTTCTACAGTAACTTCTGGGTGTGTATTTGCCTGTATGCACTTCCTTCTAGAGGCTTCTTCCTCTCCTGTCCTGCGCTGTGTTGCACTCAGAACCTGGCCTGGCCAGAAAGTGTCAGGTTCCCAACTGGACTTGGGGATGAATGGCAACAAGAGGGCTTTGATGCCGTGAAGGAAAGCTGCTCTGATCTGTGGGGCTTGTGCTTGAAGCACCATACCTGTGCATGTTTTCAGCATCTTCAATGGTCTCAGGCAGAGTTTTTCCCTTCGTCTCAGGTAGGAGCAAGACCAAGCCACCACCAACAAAAGCAATCCCAGCTGCAGAGAGAAAACAAGAACAAGGCCCACAAAGGCAATGCAGGGATCAGGCCTTAGCTTATTCCAAATTTCTCGTTAATTCTAACTGAGACACAGCTTACGATTGAACAGTGATTGCAAACATCTCTGAGAGGCATAGGAGGCCTGGAACACTGGCCTGGTCCATAGGTCCTCAAGCAATCTGGCTCCTTTGCTTTGTGCATGCAGTGCAAAGGAAACAGATTTTGGCTCTACTTGTTCTGCTGGGATGAGATGGGGGTGATGCTAGCTAGCTGCCATTCCTACTTTGGGCTATAATTAAGATGTGAAAGAAAGGGTACTATCAGCCTATCCTGCCTATTTTGCCTTCTGTTTAGTTTTGGACCCTGTTATGACCACATGCAGGATAGAAGGTGCAGCTGGGCATACCAGAATGAATATGTGCAGGAGCATGACATAATCCTAAATGACAGTGGGATCACTGAAGGGCTAGGCCCCTGAAGTGTATGCAAGAGATGCAGGAGAAGAAAGGCCAGCCTGTGCTGACCTCTAGTCCCTTGACTACATTGAAGATGTGTAGCACTAAACCCAAAGACCTTTTTACCATGGGAAGGTTCAGTAAGAGCAAGTCAAAGCTTGAGAGAGCTGCTCCCAAAACACGAGATTCCCTTTGTTGAAAGGACTAAGGGAGTGTATTCAGCTCGATTCCCAACAGCCAGATGGGAGAAACTTAAGCTAGATCTGATATGCATATGTTCATTTCTCTTAGCATTTTTTTTTTTTTTTAACAGTGGGGAAATAGGTCACCAAAATCATTCATCTAGGCTGAGGCCATCTAACCACCTCCTAGCTCTCTTACCAAAGAGAACCAAGGGCAGCTCGTGCCAGAGCTCCGCTAGTCTGTAGACGATGAAGGGAGTCATGATTCCACCAATGTCACACATGGATGAGCAGATCAGCACCCCTAGGTTCCTGGAAGAGACAGACACTGGCCCACGTCAGGAGCTCTGCACAGGAGTGCCCCATACAGCAGGGAGGGCTGTGAACCCCCCTGCTGTCACCCATGGCTGGAGTAGGGTAGAAGAGAGGGGCCAGCACCCTGCAGTGGGTATTGCAGCTGATGGGCAGAGGAACAAGCTGTGGAGACAGCAAGGCAGGAACTGAGAAAAGCCTTATCAGTGTGAACATAGAAAAGCAAAAATTATGAGTTCTCCTGTGAGGAATACTGCAGTGTGAAAGAGGTGAGGAGGGAGAATATGATGGCAGTCCTATCATGGGATAGAGGTGCTAATGATCATTTGACTCCAAGCTCACCAAACTGCCCTCAAATAGGGATATGTGAAGGCTATCTGAAAAAGTTCCTTACATATCCCATTAGGGACTCCTGCCTTAGTGCCGGGCTTAGAAAAGCAGCACTGTATTTTCTCCTCACAGGGAATCTTCTTTGCTGCTCCTCACAGTGATAAGAACAGCTTACTGGTGGGCTTTCAATTTTAAATGACATTTCTGCTATTTGACAGGTTCTCTTTTTCTTCCATGACAGACATTTCTGAGGTTTAAATGGTGACTCTTTACGACAGCCTCAAGTGCATAACCATACTCACTGCTTAAATCTAACAGAAGGAGGTACGCTTACCTGAGAGAAGTTGGATACAGCTCAGGATTTACCAAACAAACCATTTCATAGCACATGGTAATTCCCATCCTGCCCAGGCACGCTGCCGTCATTTTAAGCCAGTAGAGAGCTGTAAAGACATTGTGTATATTGAGGTTGAAATACAAAACCATTTTTTTCTGCTGTTAACACAGAACAGCATTAATGATTTAAGAAAAGAACTTCACTGTAATGAACTGTCATGAGCTCTGAGCATGATTGTGTTTTCTTTCATTCTTCAAATAATTTATGATGTGATTGTCTTGATTCAAG